GAGGGAGAAACGCCGCCGACTTGGTAACCTTTACTCAGCGTATAAAATGCTGCAAAACCATACTGCAGTAGGGTGGGATCCTACTACTAAAACTTTTACATGCTCGGAAGAACTGCAGGCATCTCTTTGTAAGGTAATATGTGTGATTCATTGCGCCTCCATTAGTGATTATGCGCTAGAGGTTACACTTTCGTAGCTAAGTATAAGAAACTTACCAATTTCATTCTAATTTTGTTAGAGACATCAGGAAGCGAAAATATTGTTCACACACGGTTGGAAGCATAATGAGACGTACTTGGCGGCCGTTTTCCCTTCAAGAGTTATGGCGACTGGTTCAGGGGCATATCACCCTGCCGCCCAAGTAGAACCAACAGATGATATTGCTGCTGGGGATGAACAATCACAACCTCACCAGAATGCACCTTACCAAGACAGTGATGACGATGAGATGCGTGCTGAACTCCGCACCCGCGTGGAAAGTTTTGGCAGGCGGATGACATCCAATATCGCCTCATCATCACGAGGGATAAGAAAGAAACAGACAAGGGCACATAAATCCAATGAGGCATCACAGGAGGAATTGCTTGGTTATATTAGGGACATGCGTGATGACTTACGAGAGGACATTCGTTCAGAGAAAGACAGCCTACCGGCCAACAACACCGTCAATGGACCAAGTGAAATGGATCCCATTATGGCGTCGCTCACGGAAATGGGAATTGACCCCCGTACGTATGCCCATGCATTTGAAAAAATAATGGCATTTCCCACGTGGCGGGTAGCTTGGCATAAACTTGATGATTCCGTTAGGAGGGTGTTTTTGCACGATTTTGTTGATCTGCCAAACACCCCCTTGCCATATCAAGTGCTTAATCCATATAGCCAGCCGCCTCATAACTTCCCTCCCGGGTCAAATCCATACATCCAGCACCCACAGTCCTTCCACCAGCCAGCAAACCCCTATACTCAGCCCCCTAACCCATTCCAACAGCCTCTACCCGCCTTCAATCCCCCTAGCCCTTAAATGTCTAGTATCTTGATTTAATTAGAGAGTTAAGTTATATACAATGGTCGATTTTCCTCTGCTATTAGACCACGGATTAGTGAGGTAATATGTGTGATTTTGAGATAATTTTTTACACTATTGTTAGTGTAACGGTTTAGTTTCATTATTTGTTGTATGAGATGCTCTTCTAAACTATTGTATGAGAATTTGTTGTTGCACCGGATATTGTATGAGAATTTGTTTATGGTCCATTACTGGAATTATATTCTATACCGTTTCTTGAATTATTTTCTTGTTTCTGCCCAATTGAATTCAAGTTTGAAAGAGGGTTTGTTGGAAGCATCATTGAGAACTGAAACCGGGGCTGCTGAGCTGCTGTTGCTGCTGGTGCAGCAGCAGCTGCGGGTTCCTGCCGTTCTTGG